AGACGCAACAATGGAAGCATACCTCTCGGGCGTCTATTTGCATTACACATTAGCACAAAAGCAGCTCGCAGATACTTTAGCAGGAGCTTAGCACTAGGCAAAGTGTTTTATTGTACACGCTTTCCACTTTCCGCTTGCCACACTCTACTTGCCGCTTGCCTTTCACCGCCTGCCGCTTTGGGATGCCATTGTATTTGTTTAGGATTTTTTGAGGCTCAGATTTGAGTGTGTGTGTGTGGCGCAGATTTACGCTTGAGTTGACAACTTTATTGCTAATTTATGTGCAGCGTCGTGTAACGCTGGCCATGCCATGCCACGCCCCTGGCCAACTAATGGGCATATAATTTGGGCGCATACGTAATGTTATTTCGGTTAGGTGCGGCCGGCCATAAAGATAAGCCATAGAACCATGTACTTGGGCCACACTCGTCATCATCAGCATTTATTAATTAGTTGGTAATGCGTCAAAGGCAGACATTCTTAACTTTTCATTCGACAGTCGCGGGTTGAATAAACCTCACTTCGGGCCTGGGCCAAGTTTGCAGTTTTCTCATGCTGTTGCTGGCAGCGCATTTCCTTTTTTAATTTCATATTTTTTATTTTTTGATATGCAGCCAAGAGAAGAACGCAAACAGACTCCGAATGTGTTGAGCCCGGCTACGTGTTTATAATATGAAATTTTTCTTGGCATAGCTCGGCAAAAGCAAAACCAGAAGCAGCAGCAGCAGCATCAGCAGCAGCAGCAGAAGGCATAAAGCGACGCCGACTTAAAAGGCATTTGTATGGCTGGTTTGCTTTATGGTAGTTTTATTTTATGCCTTTTGCAGCTGCCTTTATTTATGTCGCTGGCGGCATTTCAAAAAAAGACCAAAAAGAGAATGAAGTATAAAAATATAAAGCAAAGAAACTATTTCGACAGCGGAGCCCAAAGACAACAATTTAATACCTAACGAAAGACTATAAACATTTTTTAGGCACCAAAATTTGATGAAAATGCTAGATAAACATATTACATGTCCTTTTATTTACATAGGTCTTAAAAAAGGTCGCTTTGAATATAAAATACATCTACTTGAAACTATAAAATGTTTATTTTGCAACAAGATTTCATATTTTTACTGCCTTACGAGTTTGCGCTCGAGTAGCTCAGCGCTGAGCAGCGTGTGACGCGTTTTGAATTGAAAAAGCTACACGGACAGCATTAACTTTATATTTGTTTTATATCATAATATAATAATAAAAATATTTCGTATATTTTATTTTAAAATTTCTATGCGATGCATTGATTATTAAAACTTGAAAAGAAAATAAAAAGTTCAAATTAGATGATCTAATATATATATATTTATTTATTAAAATATACTATTATTTATATTATTATTATTATTTATTTATTATATATATTATTATTGTTTTTTATTTACATTCATTATTTATACCTTAATTATTTAATTATTTATTATTTTATTATTAATACCTTAATACTCAAGTAATCACACATACGTTGCTGCCACTTAAAAAGTTTGAATTATTCTAATCTATTCAACAATCGATAATCCCTCAAACATATTTAATATTCCCTCTAATTTTAAATTATTTAATAATAAACGCTGCAGCTCAAACGTTTTATACATTTCAGCATAAATTGTAAAGGCTACGAAATATTTCATTTTAAGCTGTGCAACGAGCGTAACTAGCAGAAAATTATATAAATCATTCAGTCTATTAATCACGTATTCAATTTATACGCTAACATTGTTTATTTAATAAATGTAGTTCACTAAATTAAACTTTAAATGCAAATATAAATCAGAGCCAGTCAAGTTAGTACTCAGACAAAACTCATTTAACTGAATTTATAAGAAATACATTTGATGAATTTTGCTATAATTTATTTAGAAAAAGATTTTAAACAAAATGTAGAATTTAATAAAAATATATATACACATATTTATTTTTTATAAATATTCCTTTTTTAATTTAGAAACATGAAACTAAACATTTTAAAATTATTCAAGCAGAATTCATTTTTTCTCCTAAGTAAATATTATTTTACACCACAAATTTGTTTTATTTTTGCTGCCTCTATTTGCATAGCAATATTTATTTAAGACTGAAAAACGTTTATTGTTTGCAATAAAATCATATATAATATATATATATATATATATATATATATATATATATATATATATATATATATATATATATATATATATACATAAATATATATATATATATATACATAAATATATATATATATATATATATATATATATATACATATAGATTTATATGTATATATCATGCATACCCTTCATTAACATTCAGCCATCATCAACAACCTTACCGCAAAGCAGACACCACATGAACTCCTGACATCTGGTACTCAGACAATCAGAAATTGATATGCTTGTCGTTTCTATGGCCTTCGTCGAGCAAGTTCATTACACATAGAAATAATTAAGCGTTTGAAGCATTTTGTAATTAAGTTCATTGGAAAAGCCATGCGTTTTGCGGCCAGCGTTGAGAAAGGGGAATTTCTTTTAATGTAAAGCAGCATGAAAAGCATTTATCAAGCTCTAATTAGAGCAGCCAACCAAAATTTTGCGCATTTGTATAATTTTCAGGGAAAATTCATGAAAAGGCAGCTGTGCCCCTTCAAGGGCAAAGCGTAATGAAAATCTGCCAACGCATGCATGAAAATGTTTAAGCAATTTAAAAGCAGCAACGGCGACAGGCGACATTAACAACAACGAAATTACTAAACAATAATCATAATTTGTGGTATTAAGCGACACCAGAACAGGAGAGCAGTTCCTTTTTATCGTTGTCGTCGTCGTCCTTGCCAAGCGCTTTACGGCCAGCGCTGATAAAGTGTCGCTGTGCAATTTATCTGAGCTGGAGCGGGAGCGGGAGCTGGTGGCCCGGTGGCCAGGTGCCCAGCGCCTGCTGCTCGTTGCCTGGGGACCCAATCCAAATACCAAGTCGGACGGAGCAACTGCACCTGTCACATGGGAAAACACGTTCCGGTAATTTATGAGTCATACATTTGAGTTCTGCAGTTTTATGTGGCCTGCGGCTAGGTGGCACGGCTCACGCGCGAATTTTATTTCCATTTTTGTTTTCCTTTTTAAGGCAAACAAACCGCAAAAGTTTTTCACTGCTGAATTTCTAAAAATAACATCGCAGTTATGAGTAACATATACGAGAGTAAGACGAACTGAACTGTGAGATTGACGCGCGAATTTCCAACCAAAACTTTGCCCATGATTTATTCTGCCAAATGTTTTTCTTCTACAAATTATGAACTTTATGCCCAGAAAACATGCAGGCAGGGAATCAACAATAATGAAGACAACAAAACACAAAGCCAATTATAATTTTGATTATTGTAAAACATTTGAATTATAAATGAGCGACTTTGACCTTACCTAAGAAGAGAGTTTTTGGTGCCGAACAAATCTGAGCTGAGGTCAGTTTCAAGTTAATTTTCTAAAGGAATTGAATGAAAGCAACATTATTTCGGGGCCAAACTTAACTAAGATTATATTAATTGCAGTTAATTAAAAATTTATTTTTTTCCAGTCAAAGTCAAGAATAGAAAAAAAGACTCATAAAACTTGAAACGTCAGGCAAATAATTTTTACAGAATTTGTAGCTAAAGTGGATAGACATTAAAATGGTTAATATAACAGGTAAATATTGCAGGGCGTAAGATATTTTCAATGTAGTTTTAATACATTCAAAGATATTTAAGGCACTTAATGTTTCCTTTTTGTTCGAATTTATTCTGGTTCTTTGAACATACACTGCATATAGGCCGATAAAGTTATGGACAGTTCAAATTTGGAACTCATCAATTGTGAAAATGTTACCTCCAGAGCATTCAGAAATACCTTTTAAGCAGCAATATTCCTTAGCTATCAAACTAGTGCTGGTAATAAACTTTTCTATCAATAGCTATTCGTAGAACAACTTACATGACTATAAAGACTTCTTCCTTCCAGTAATTTTTCCATTTATAACATTCAAGACAAATACCTGAGGCAATATGTGTTATAGCAGCTAAGAACTCTCTTGACGCACTCTCCCCAATCAAAACTTTTTTCATTTGCTAACTAAACAAAATGCTCCAAAGGTTCTAAGAATCATGAACTAAGTAAAGATGTCTTCACTTTCAACATTTCAAAGGTCCTCGCCAGCAAAGCCATAAGCATCGCAGCATCTCGAAACGTAGGCAATAAATTTATGCCTCTAGTTAATAATATATTTATGTTATGCTCTTAGCGCTGACATAAAGATATATTTATGTGGCGCTTATTAGATAACATAAGCAGTGAAACATGGCCTGTTATAATGCCCATTAGGCCAATGTTGTGCTCCGAGTCGACGCAATATTGGCAACAGTGCGGCTACTTAACCAAGCTAAGTGCTGCACAAATTTGCCGAAGGACACAACAATTTGCACAGGAGATTCGCACAAACACACACACACGCAGACACACACACACACGCAGACATACGCATAAATGTACAGAAGTCATCAAAGGACGTTAGGTATAAAAATGTACTCGAATGTGTAGCAGAGTGTAATGTAGTGCAGTGTAGTGTGCATTAAGCAGTCATGTATACCCTCTGTATATATTTATATATGTATATATATATTTAAGGTAATATATATTTGCGACACCATTAAGCGCGTTATTGGATTAGAATGAGAACCAAATAGAAAGAGAAAGAGAGAGAGAGAGAGAGAGAGAGATGGAATGGAAGGGAACTGCGATAGGGATTTGCCACACAGCACACATTTGATAAATACAAAATACAATAAATAATAATGAAGGTAACCACACGCATACACACACATACAATACACAAAGAAACTCACACACACATACCCATACATACGCACACTCATACATAGTGAAGAGCTTTGTAATATGAATGTATTTTTGGGGTATTTGTTGTATTGTATTTGATATGTATTTGGCTCTTACCTTCCTCCTCGACATCATCGTTGAATTCTGTGATTTCCGCCTTATCGCATGAACGGTCGACGCCATTTGTTACCGCGCTGCTGCCTTTGGAGATGGCAGCTACGGCAGCCGCCTTGGCATCGCCATTGGAGATAATTGAATTTGATTTTGCGTGATTTGTATGATTGTTCGAGGATTTTGCTGAGCAGGAGCCACCATCGGCCAGCTCCAGTTGCGGTGCACTCGGCTCCGGTTCGCCATTGCTGACAGCATCGATGGCGCCGCCGTCCTTTGTCTTCAGCTCCTGACTGGTGTTGCAGCCCATTGTGTGTTGGCTTAGACTCTGTTGCTTGGTCTCTGTACTTTAAGTTGGCCCAGGTAACCAGACCAGAACCAGGCAATCGCTGTTGTTTAATCAATTGCAGCGGCAACAACAAAGTCAGCACACACAAACACACCGACACCCACACACTCTCTCACACACACACACGATAACAAATTCCTTACACACGCGGGCTTTAACTTTATTTTATGAACTTTTGTTAGAGTTTGGTTTTTTGCACTTTGACTTTTGTTTGGCTGAAACCTTTCTGTACAAAAATCTGGTAAAAAACTATGTTTTTATTCCTTTAAATTTTTGTTGTTGTTGAATTAGTTGGAGTCGTAATCAAAAGAGCTACAAAAAGGTTCACAACCACGAAAATATCAGCCAGTTTTTTTTTCTAAATTATTTTTTGTGCTGAGAGTTAGAAAATGGAAATCGGAACTTGAAAAACTCTGAAGCTGACGTTAAATTTGACTGACTGACGCTGGCACAAGCTCAGGCACAACTGACAAACGCAAGCGACGCGTCCACACTAAGAATAAATTGCGGCTGTTATCCTGCAGGAGCAAGGCTCAACAGTCGACAACAGGAGCAATGGCAGCGACAGCGACAGAAGCAGCGACAGCAGCAGAGGCAGTGAAGTCAACGTCAACGTCACCGTCAGCCGGCAGTCAACAACTAGCCAAAAAGGAGCCCCAGAAATCGAGCGGGTAAATAAGGCGAAGAGCACAAAAACCCAGTCAGGCAGTGAGAGAGCACATGTCTACTCATTTTATTGGCTGCACAGTGGAGCCAGATGCATGCACAAACATAAAATTAACAAAACAAAATTTTTATGAGTGTGTCAGTAGTTTTTAGCTAGACAATACAAAATTATTACAATTCCCTCAATTCTTGTCTAATTTTAAGTGTTAAATTTTATAATGCAAATTTCATATTTTATATATATTCTAAGTTTTTCAAAAATAAATAATTTATATTATATTATATCTTCTTATTAATTTAATAAAAATATTTTCAGTTTTACTTCTATGATACCATATTATTTTTAAATTAATTTTCGCTTAAATTTAATAAAAATTGCTCCACTGTGACTATGCTTTTAGTAGAGAGAAATAAAAGCAGAGAGTGAGTGAGCGAGAGCGAGAGAGAGCAAGAGTGAGAGAGGACAAACTAACGGAGAGCCATGACAATACAACAGCTGATGTCTGCTTGGCTGCAGAGTTTTTTCGCAAATAAACAAAGCGGACTGGCAAAGCCGACAGCCAGCGTGCACACACACAAACACATATATAACATCACAAAGCCACATCACTAGCAGCAGCCGCAGCAGCAGAGCCAGAAGAGCAGCGCCGACAGCAGCAGCACCAGCAGCCATTGCTGTGAAGTTGCTAAGGCAATGGCATCATCTATTGGGACGTTTGCACGCACCAACTTTACCAACGCGCACACACACACACACACGTAGATTTCACCATACCTTTTGGCAGTCATAAATAGCTACACAATGCTCAAAGCTAAAGAAAAATAAAAAATTTCGCCATAAAAATATCAATGAAACATTTTTCCGGTATCTTTGCCATTCTGTTTGTCCTTAGCATAACTCATGTACCTAAGCAGCTACTAGTTTTTTCTTTTCTGCTTTTGTTTTGCTTGTGTTTCTTGTTCTTCCTATATGCCACGCTTTTTGCCACAATGTTGACGTCGCTCTGTTTTTGTGCAAATTTTTTGTTCTTATATCCTGTATCCTGTAATAATATCAGTGGGTGTATTAAAGCTTATAAATATATATAAATAAATATCAATAACTAGACACGTTTTGCGGCAATTGATATATTTAATTGTTTGGGATTAGCGTTATTCTTGTAAAGCAATTAAGTTAAGTAAATGCGAGATAATTAATTTCTCTCACAAGAAGTGGACATACTGAGATATAAAGTTATTAAAATATTAAGTTATTAAAATACTAAGGTATTGAGATATTGTACACTTTAAGTATGGAGATTCTGATTCATCTGGAACTTAAATTTATATCAGATATTGAGGTATTGAGATATTGAGGTAGTAAGGCAATGAAGCTGTCAGCCTTATTGAGCTTTGTAGTTATTAAGATACTGAACTTTTTGAGGTTTTGGAATATTCAAGAATTAAATTGATGAAATATTGATGATTTGATGTAACTCAGGTGGTGTCACAATGAGAATAACTCCAAACATTTTCTTGATGATCAGTTAAAAGGTTTTCTAAATATGTTTATATGAATTTACTTTAACTACAGGGTATCTGCTAATCGAACACTCTTCATATGAGCACTCTTTCTTTCTGTTTTCAGTTTAGCAACTTTTTTGTTTTGTTTCCCATTTGGGAGTTTGTTTTGCGCGTGTGTGTGTCTGTGTGATTCACTCCGAAATGAATTGGTCTGCTCTTATTCCGTCACGCCCATTCACCCACTGGGCCACCTGCCCATCTGTCGATAGGCTACGCCGCACAGGGTGTCATTATCATAAAGTCAAATGTTAGCAGGAAAAAGCACGAATGCATATGTAAATAGTAAATTCGACTGACATTTGACTTTGCCCAGAACGAAACATGATTGTAGCCCCCTCTGAGGTGTCAGCTGGCAGAAGTCTTAATCAAAGGCGGCTGCGAGACAGAGGGCACTACCCTAAAGTAGCGCAATACACAGCTATGCAAATGAGCTTCAGCTACGCAATGTGCATAGAAAGTATTTTATTTTGATGCGCAACATAAAGAGGCAAGTAACTGGACGAGGACACCCTGTATGCCTGAAGCCGGTAAATATTTAACAATTATGCAAAAATACTTCAGAGCTCGCAAAAAATGCCTGACACGCAAAAAATAACTGTCATTAAATGCATTCTGGGACAGTCTATTCAAAATATTTAATGGTGCCCATCGGGCAGCACAATTATAAACCATACAGCATGCACTGCTAATCTGAACAATGAATTTGTGCCATGCGCTGAGTGAGTTATCAGCAAAGGCAAAAAGTTTATTAGAGCTGAGTAGCTGAGCTCCCATTTCAACCAACATTTATTAGCTGCTCTTGCGAGCACGTCTCAGTTTCTGTTTTCATCGTTTAAATCTCGCACAACAGACTTATCTAATTAGATTCAACTATAATTGAGATGCACACTTATACACGCTGTTAGCAAACTTTGCTGCGCCCTAAACTATGCAACACAAAAGAGTTAAGACTTCATTTAAGTCTTGGGCAACAGCCGAAGCCCTTATCTGCTTGCATTTTGCCAGTCAGCAACTGCAAGACAAGTGAGCAGTGTCAAGTGAAGCATACTAAACGACAAGATACCCTGTAAATTAAATTTCCTTTTCAAATATATTAAAAACACATTCGAGCAGACAATCCATAGCAGAAATACAAGAAGAATAAGAGCCAAGTACAAGTGACTGCACTTGAAAAGAACATCCTACTGCTGCTGCTGCTGCTGCCGCATCAATTGTAAGTAATGTGTGAATTTCCACATTTCACAGCTGCCAAAGCCCAAGAGCCAAAACGAACAACAGCAGATTGCGTCGCCGATGTCAAGACAGTTTTAAGACTTAAAATAGCGACAAAAACTTTTAGTCAGAGCTGTGAATGCGTTGAGCGTGTGAACATGCATAGCAAGTGCTGGCATGGAATTTCCCAGCTTCTTTCACACAGACCGTTTGGGCATTCCTGCATTGTTGTGGGTAGAACACTGGCATGACAAATGCGCTGGCGATACATAGACCCTTGCCGAGGTTGATAAAGTGACAGACAACGAGTTGTCTCAAGTGCCAAGAGCTCACAGCCATAATTGGCAAAGGGTTGAGGGGTGGCAAAAGGCAGGAAAGGCTTTCAGTTTGCGCATCATTTGCCCGCCGAAATGCAAAGTCATTATTTTTGGCAAAAGATAAAAATACTTGATGCTTTGTTTTTTTGGGTTCCAGCAGCCGATCTGAGCACATTTCGATTTTCTAGCTGCCTCACGAAACGCAGCGCCAGCGCACGAAACATGCCCAGCCAAATTACGTATACGCCGTGTTGTTCGGCCTATGCCACAGGCACATACAAAACTACAGCAACGAATGAACTGCTTTCCCTCATTTGTATCTGTTTATGTGAGTGTGTGTGTATGTGTGTGTGTGTTTGTGTGCGTCGTCTCTCCCGGGACTGTTGCCAAGTGGAAAGTTCTCGCGTCCTTTTTGTCTGAAGTTCACCGGTGCGCAACAACTTTCTGGGCGCTGCACAAATTGACAGCAGACCAACAGATTCTGTGTGAAAATTTATGTTTTTAAAGTGTTGGCTTTAAATATAGCCCGAGGCCAGCGCATAGCGAAAAGCAGCTCAGCCAGACTATGCCAAGTGTAAACACAGCCCAGGCCCAAAGCCACTTGCTGTTTGCCCAGCCAAATCAAATTTTGACTTTCAAACTTTTGTCAGCTTGGCAAACACTGAAAGCGGAGTTTACGGCTCAAGATTAATTTTTAGTTTTAAAATGTGAAAGTGTGTAAAGAAACTTAGACATTCTTTAGCTAGTCTAACTAACTTTAGTAGAGAATAAAACGAGATTGTGACATTTCATTCGACAAGCCAAATTCTGCCAACCTTCGCTTCTCTTCACCTGGCTACAGCAAAAGTCGCTCAGAATAATTGAATAAGCGCTGACATGATAAATGATCTATCAGCGAATTGTGCACGAAAGTATTTATCACACGCCTACAGCTGCAGGCCAACAGTTAACACATTTAAATAAATGAATCGAAAAATTAATTTATGTAATTAAAAGTATAAATGTCTGCCATAGACGCACGTCCCACAGAGCCAGAGCAAGAAAATTATTTTCTTATGTAGTCATAAATAGCAGAAGGCTTGGTCTGACTCTCATGCAGTCCTTTTGTGTTTTGTATAGTCTCTGAATGTTAAGATTATTATTAAATAAAGTGTGAATGAATTTTGATTTAGGTAGTTCGAAGTGTTGCCTATTATTTAGGCATTTAAGCCACGAGTTCAATTCACAGACCAGAATGAAAACTAGAATTTTCTCTTCACTTTCATTCAGTAAATTGAATAATACTTTTAATACAGCTTTAAGCTTTAAGTATTTTAAGTAGTTTAAAGTGAAAACTGTTTTGGAAAGTGACTAACAATGTTTACAAACTGTTTACTGAGTAAAAAAATGAAATTGGCATCTTTATATAAAATCGAATATTAAATGCTTGAGTTTGATAAGCAAGTTTCTTACTAATATGTTTACTCTGATTATTTTGCAATATAAATGGGCTAACTTTTATATATATTTATTGAAATATTTATTATTTTTGCAATACAAATTATGATACCAAAGCAGAAAATCCCAAGAAGTTAAAGACCTTAAAATTATATCTCACACAAATTCATATTATTTAAAAAAAATTCATTTATTTTAAATAAATTAATATAAAATATAAATATCTAAAAAAAGTTATTTAAATTAATCTATTTTACTTCAGCCATAATTTTTATATCGTATTTCAAGTATACGATATATTCATATCGTAACAGAAATGATTTTATGATTGGATTGCGCTAGGTTTGTTTGCTTTTCCAACGTTGATGAGCGCTCCCACATGTGTGCTTTTTGTAATTTTCTAGCTATTACCTTAATTTGGGACAGACACACACTCACCACACACACACACGGCCACACACGCGCACACCTAGAAACCAACACGTGTCCTGGAACTGCCTCGACGGCGTAATTGTTAATTAAAAACCCGCTGAGGGCACGACTTGTTTGCACAACACCCACGAAAATGTTTGTCGGCCATGAAACCGCTGACCATGGCCGGTTAAAGGTGTTGTGAATAATGTCATAAAGCCGAAACAAGACACAGCCGAAATTACATTTGTGAGCGCATCAATTTCAATGGACTCCGAGTGGGAGTTGTCCTGCTTTCGTCTTTCATTGGCATCATAAAATGGTTTAGAAAATAAGTTTACGACCATGCATAACACGCATATTATGCTGGGCTAATACATTTTTAATGCGAATTCGCTGTGGCGCATGGCTAAGTAATTGAGTGGCAAGGCCAACAAGTCGCTTGATTGGATTGCAACACAAATACAGTTGGAGAAACAATGGACGACAAATGATGTATGGCATGAATGTGTTATTTTTAGAGCCGGCCAATCGGGTTAATACAGATGACATTTCATATGTATACATATTATATATATATATACATAGTTAGAAAAACTCTCAGCACAAATCTTTGTCAACCTTGACAATTGCGGGCCAAGAACATCAATCACTTGGGCTGCTGGGTCCAAGACATCAATCACAGCAGCTGCGCTGTCTTGGCCAGCATCTCGGGCTGTGTCGAACAGGATATGAACAAAGACAACACACTCGGAAGGGCGTCCATGTCAACCAAATTGAAAAGTCCTATTTAAATGCAAGGCATCGACTCTGCTGAAAGAAAAAATCGAAATTCGGTTTTGGGTTTTGGGTTTGGGGTGCTGGGCGCTGTTCCTGTACCTGCGTGACTGCACGTAGCAAGCAGCCAGAGCTGGGAGCTGGATTGACTGGCTGCCTGTTAGAATTGCAATTGTCTGGCTGGCAGGCAGTTCGTGCACCTAAATGTATGCTATTGTCATGACACATGGCAATCCGAGTACATTCACTTAGTGCAATGAGCAAAACCAACCAAAAACCAGGCGTATGACAGGCAAATGACACAAAACACTCTCAGACACACACACAGATACACACGCACACACAGACGTAATGCAAATAGTCCGTGTTGCCGTGTCTGTGGCGTGTGTCTCGTTCATGTAAAGCCTTTTCAATAAGCAAGCGAGTGAATGTATCTAGCTGCCAGAGCAGCCCACCACAACGAGTAATTGAACTGGCTAACTGTGTATGTGTGTGTGTGTGTGTGTGTGCAACTCTTAAATGTGATTTTAAAGTCAACATTGAGTCTTTTTGACATACGAACTGCCAGTTTTGGTTTGCCGCTTGTCTGCCAGTTGCTCTTTGGCTTTCAATGTTCGTGTCCGTGTCGATATCCACTTCCGGACTTCGGACTCCGGACTGCCATCTATCGCCTGTGATAATGGTCATGTTGTGTACAATACGATATGATAGCAGCCATTTGCAATTATAACCTTAACCATCTACGGCTCTGATCAGCTCATATTGTTGGCTTGACTTGGCATGCAGCCAGAAGCCACAAGCCAGGCGCCAGACCCTGCCCACCATTGTAGATAGGCAATTGGGTGGCAGACGTGTCTATCTATCTATGGCACACAACATGTCTATGATTTTTATGTATTAGTATTTTGAGATTTCCTTTTGCCCATTGACGATGTGGAGAGCTCTTAAAGAATATTATTTGAGCTTAAAGTTCAAGTGATTGCACAGCAGTAGATAACTTCAAGCGACTAACAAATGCATATTAAATGAAGCAAAAACAAAAAACTTGTAAAAAAGTAAATACTTAAGAGCTTAAGTTCAACAAAAACGTTTTATTTATACAAAAATGCATTTTTAACCATACAAAAACATAAGCAATATGCTCTGAGAGCGGTCTAGACAAGGCAAAGTTTTTACTTCATTTAACTTTTTACTTTGTTTCCATTATTCTGATTATCATTATCTATTTAAAGTCTTAGCTTGCTGCATGTAAAGACTACAACAACTGGAGCTAATTTTGTTTTCCATATAAATGGAAAATTCCAGCTTACACAAAAAGCAATAACATGAATTTTCGGAAGCAACCTCAGGAGCTTATAAGAAACGTGGCCAAGTTGAACTCAAGGACTCGACTCGCCTTTTAATTACATTGTTTTTAACACCTTAACGTGTTGAAATGCTATAAAGGAAAATAGCAAGCAGTCTAGCTGTTGGCACTAAGAAAAGTCCAATAGCTAAAAGCATTTCCTAGTAAAAACACAACTGTGGAATACTCTTTAGCTTTTGGATAATCTTGAATATTAATTTGAAATTTTCACTTGACTTAATTTGTAAAGTAAATGCTTCCAATTGTAGTTTTTGCATAGATGTTTCAATATGGGAAATACCTAAGCTTTGCCAATTGCTTTGTGTGTTTGTGATGGGTAAGTTTTTCCAGTGGTCAATATGATATAAACGCAGCGATAATTTCCGCTAGTTTTGTTGCCCGATTGTGTGTTGACTGTGGCAGCAAATGGCTCGCTGACATGCGAATTTCCATTTAGTGGAAAAGGTTTCGTGGTCGCCCATTTCATATGGGCGGGCAACGGTTTTACTTTTCAGAATATGTCCACATGACATGAGCTCAACAGCTTATTCAGATTCTACCTTAAAATATACTTTTACTTAATGTAAGCTATGTACACTTATTTACATATATAATTGGTTGTAAGCTATTTGGCCGCATCTATTTGTAGAGCTGTTTGCTGAAAGCTCCACGCAACTGCCCAGCGTGTGGTGTGTCCTTGATGAAACTCCGTGGTGCAAACGTTGCTTATTTGCCGCTCACGCAAATAGTCCAAAATCTTGGGCACGTTAGCCTTGACGCCGAGCATGCTGGTGAAAATCCTGAAAAGCGGAGATGTTATTTTTAAAGTTTAAATTTGGTGCAGTTGCACTTACAACACGCGCTCTTTGTACAGCTCGCTCTCGTCGACAATGCGCTGCACGAAAGACACCTCGCCGCCGACACATGTCAACTCCTCGTCAGTACCCGTGCGCACATTGTGAGGCGCTGGCCGACGCTGTGGATTGCGTGTGTTAGCATCAAATGGATTCTTAGCATTCGAGTCAAAAAAAGGCGGATTGCATAGGCAAAAGTGAAATTGTTCCTTGGCCAATTCATTGGAAGACTCAAAATAGCTCTTGAAGATGCTCTGCTTGTCGGGCTGCTTATAGACCTCCACAAGGTGTTGCAGATCATTACGCTTCACATTCTCGAGCGCATATTCAATGTTTGCTTGCTTCGACTCCAGAGCCAGCATCTGCCATCGATTCTTTTTGGCTGCCAGCAGTGAATAAATGCACGATGAACCGCAACCTGAAAAGATTTGTTAAGTGACAGATCTCTTGGCTTAAAGCTAGCCACTTGCCAATGTCGATGCCACACACTGCATCCAGTTTCAGTGGCGCCAGCAAATCCTCTAGCCACAAAATATAGTTCAAGCGCAGCGCCAAAGTTGGCACCAAACTGCCCGGCGCAAAATCCACGTGCAGATCAAAATATTCCAGCAGCAACATTTTGGTCAATTCACGCAATGTTCGTTCATTGCGAAAGTTAATAGATACCTTGCCATTGAGTTCCTGCAAAGTATTAAATATTTTATATTCTTATTTATTTCTTGAATACAAAACTTACCAATTCGCAAACCTGCCGAAAGTCCTTGTACTTGATGGCCAGCTTTGTGTAGTCAGGAGCAGTGCGTAATACATTGCGCGGATGCATTACAAACTTTTTATTATTTTTTCTAATCATTTTATTAAACAACAAATAAAATAATCAACAATAAAACGTTTAAACTGAGTGCAATGCAATTTATGTGACCATTTTAGAGTTAGTAAATAAAAATAACAAAAAATACTAAGTAAGAAATACTGCTGGGCACACTGCTGCTAATAGACTGTTAATTAACATTGTTATGTTATAGAACATAGCATTGTAAAAACAATATTACACATAAGCAGAACGTTTAAAATTAATATTTTTAATCATCTGAGCCAAAAATGTCAGAAACTAGCTCCAAGGAGAATGTTAAGACCGCAATGACATACATCTGTGGTGGTAAGTAAGCAAATGAGCCTGAAAACGACTAAAACAGTCAACAACATGCTGCCGCACAGACGCGCACATGTCTGCACATAATTATAAATGTTTTTTGTTTATAAATGCTAATTCTTATATAAACTTACATAGAATGTCATCATGAGAACGAGATGCGTCCACGTGATCCCATACGTTGCCGCGAGTGTGGCTACCGCATCATGTACAAGAAGCGCACCAAGCGTCGTAAGTACCGGGACTCTTAGCACTTTACAGTGCTGCCCAAACTGTATACATCTGTTAAATATTTGATTTTTCTTACAGTTGTTGTCTTTGATGCACGATAAGGTTGTCTGTATATGGATATGAAAACTATCTTAGAATTTAGCTTGTAATTGAAAACGTATATATTGATAAATATAAGGGTTTGTAATCAGAAAATATGTATTTTTTGTATTTAAGTTGTGGGAAAGTTTTGATCAAGTGGGAATTTCTAAGTTGAAGAATTGGAAGTATTGGATTTAGATGTAAAGCTTAGACACATTCTTAGCTTGCTTGTAAACTATACAGTGCTTCATATATTAAGAAGATATTTCTTATTTTCAAACGTTATGACTCTCTAGGACTCTAGAAACTCTAGAAAAGAGATATAAGCAGAGCTTGATTGACTCCACTGCGCATTTGATTAAAACTATGTGAATACTTGAAGGGTTCTGCCACGACTTTTACATTCAATATAAACAAGACCTTAATTTGAATTGCCCCCTTGAATGGCCAGGGTATGTAAAGAACCTTCGCCGAACTTCTCACTAAGCTGAACTATCTTAAAACTCAAGTAAGTATAAAGAGATGTAGAAATTAAAGAAAGCCCAAAAAGCTATAGCTACAGGATATATTTATATATATATATATATATGGTATATCTCATTTACTTCCTTTCAACAATTAAACAATAAGTTTTTCTAAATTTTTTTAAACTAATTTTACTTTTATTTGAATGTTTTTGGAAATATAATTTTTAAACTAAAAACACTTATATTTGTTTATATATTACTCATTTATTATATTTTTTGTTTTCTTTTGCAACATGTGCTTAAATAAAATGTAAAGTAATTTGTTCTTTTGTTTTGTTCAATTTTTTTTATGTTTTTGTTGCTTTACTCATAAATGTCTTTTTTTGTCTCAAAAATTTTGTCTAAATGGCTTTTGTCATCCAAAAATTTACTTTACTTAAGATTTTCTCATTTGTTTTTAGTTTTATTTTTTCGTGTTAGTTTATCGTTTGGTGTAATAAATTTACTTTTAAGTTTACCACATTTAGCAAAACACACATTTTACACTAGAAATTTTTTATAGCATTTATTTGTTGTTTATTTGTAACTTCTTCTTCTTCACTTAATATTTAACCCGACACTTTTCAGTCAAATATTTCTTCTTGTTCAGTGTGTGGTAAAAAGTTATTACACACATATATATATATGATATATATATATATGTATATATATATATATATATATATATATATATATATATATATATATATATATATATATATATATATATATATATATATATATATATATATATATATATATATAATATATATTGTATTTTCTTTGAGTATTTTGTATTTGTTGTTTTTGTTGTTGCTGATAAAATCATAAGTACAACTACACGTTTAATAATAATATAGTTTATGTTTTCTTTCTTTATCGTATGCATTAAATTCTATCAACTGAATGCTTGCTGTGTGGGCATTTGTGGGCGTGGCTGTTGCTCAATAAAACCAACTAAAGCTAGAAACTAAATAAATCTTCGTTATGTTAAAGCTTAATTCAAGAAAAGAAATAAGGCAAAAAGGTATTGAGGTTTTGCATTCCATGTTGTATAAATAAAATATATATATATATATGTATGTATGTATGTGTATGTATGCATGTATGTGTGTAGCAACTTAAACAACTAGTAAATAACATGGCAAAATGATACTCGTATTAAGTAACTAAAATATGAAGTTTTTGTGTTTTTTAAATGGCAAATTAAAGCTATTTCACTTCACAAATGATTTTTTACGTTTTTTTTTTTTGCAACAAAAGTGAAGATATTTGATAAATCCTCATCGAATATCTTCCTAAATTCTATTAAGTGTTTCATTATAATATAATATATTTTAGTGTACTTTGTTGTCTTTTTCTTTTGTTTAAACACTACAATGTGAGTTTCATGTTTGTGTGTGTGTGTCTTTTACATAACCTCAATTGTACAATTAATATAATGTGAAATTTATCGAAATTGGGAGAACTTTCTACAATATTTTTATGGATTTTGTTTTCTTATCTTTTTTTTTTTGTTTTTTGTTTTTTTTTTTTTTTGTAAAGAGAAATCATATTTCAGGTACATCACAACTTAAAATTTAACAAATAAATGCAAATTTGTTCTTTAATGAATTTTCAATGTTAATGCCTAATGCATAAAAAATGTATATGGCAAGCAAAACATTTGCTAAGATTAATGAGAAATTGTTGGCTCTTAAATAAAAAAGAGAGCTATAGATTGAGTTGGAGAGCGAGCGCTAGTTTCACGGTTTGGCATGCTTGAGGCGGCGATGTAGCTGTAAGCTGTAGCGCCGCTCAAACTTTGCGCTGCACTGCCGACAGCTGTGCGACGCGACCGCCAAAGCTCGATGCTTCCAAAACCGATGCAGCGCCAGAGAGCCAAGCGTATGATAGTTGAAGCTTATGCCGCCGCCATTACGCCGCCGACTGGCCGTGCAGCTTGCGCAGCCCAATCTCTGGTGCACCAGCTTATTGAGATGCTTGTCACGCAGCATGGCGACCACAGCCTCGGGAGAGAGACGTATTTTCTTCGGCTGCGCCTGCTTACGTGAACTGCGCGCCGTCTCCGCATCGGACTTCTTGCTGAAGTCAAGCGGCGCTGTTAAATATTCCTGCTTGCTGGCGGCATCGGCCAGCAGAGGCAACAGCGTTGCCAGCTGATTCAAGGACTTGCGCGAGGCGCTAACAGCGCAGCTGTTATTACCGCTGCTGGTGCTGCTGCTACTGCTGTTGAGCGTATGTTGATTAACAGCCGGCTTCTTGGGACTCTTGCGCGGTGCTGCCAGATCTAGCTGACGTTTGAGCAGCGACTGTGGCTGCGACGTCGGCGCCGCTGTTAACTTCGGCGGCGCAACGCTACCGCAGCTGCTGCCGGTAGGCACCTTGGGTGTTATGGTCAGTGTAATATCCTCCTTGTTGCGCAGATACTCAATGTACTCTTCGGTCTCGCTCAGCAGGCGTCGTCGCTTGCCGGGCGACATCTGTTGCTCGCGCTGCTGGCCCGTCGTTGTTGCTGTCGGCAGCGCTGCTGCGGCGGCGGCCAGCATTAAAGGCGTCTCAGCTGCATAGTATTTGTTTATAATATCTTTAACATAATTCTGAAATTGTGTTCCAATGCGATTGAGATTCTGATATTCCATTTGTGTGAGAAAGGGTGTGGTGGTGTTGTTGTTATTATTGTTGTTGTTGCCGCTGTTCGGTGTTGCTGTTACTGCAGCCACTGCTGCAGTGCCAACAGCGGCGGCAGCAGCAGCAGCAGCAGTTGCTGTTGCCATGGCCGCTGCCGCTGCTGCAGCCGTTGCCTCAGTCCTGCTGGTGTTGTTCTCTTTATCATCCTGAGGACAATGATGCACGGCATTTCTGTGAGATTTCTCTTTGTAATAGCTGTGACTGTTGTTATTATTATTATTATTATGGTTGTTGTTGTTATTATTATTGTTAAGTTTATACGCGGGAGACGATTTAATAAGCTGCACTCGCTGCTGCTGCTGCTGCTGCAGTTGTTGTTGCTGATTCTCTTGATCTTCGTCATACTCAATTTTGAGCTTTCGCTTGCTGGCGAGCAGCTCAATGGCCGTTTGCTCGTAGGCTGCCGCCTCCAGAAATGCCGTTGCCATCAGCGCCTTGTTGGTCTGCTCCTTAAGCTCGCCCTCATCGCCAGATGAGCGCAGACTCTTGCCATTGCTGTTGGCATGACGCGACAATTTCATTGGTGAGGTAGCGCCCGACACGTGGTACTCGTCGCCCGAGTACGAGGACGAGGATGCCGATGACGGTGTATTCTCATCATCCTCGCCCGTCGAGTGTTGCCTGGCACGCATAACGCCAAACTTTTGGCGCTGGTTGCCGTTGCCGCTGCTGCTGTTGCTGCTGCTGCTGTTGTTGTTGTTGCCGCCGCTGCTGCTGTTGATGTTGCTGCCGCTGCCGCTGCCGCTGTTGCCGCTGTGATGGCCGCCCATGCTGCTCAGGCTGTGCAATAGCGCAGCAGCCTCTCGTGTCGTCCATTGCGAAGGCAGTTTATTATTGAACAGGAGTTGATGATTTGCTGGTATTTTCAACTCGTGCACGCCTCCCGCTTTATGAAAATCCTGAGCGACCGAAGCTGTGTTGCGACTAATTGCGTCCATTTTTAGCAGACTGAAAAGGTGAGACAATGAAAACCTGAGATTAGAGTGCGTTTTAAAGTCGGTTAATAGCTAAATTATATATGATAATAATAAAAGAATAAATCAATAGAAGGAAAAACAACACAACTGCATGAAACTTGGCAGCAGCTCAAAGCGCTAAATAAAGGTGGATGAAAAACAAGTTCACAAACAAAACCCAACAACAACACAAGAGTAAAGCAAACTTTGATCGAATTTGGCAACAAAAAAAACAATGGAAAAAATCAACAAATATTTCGAAATAAATAAAGAACTTGGAACCAAACAGGAAATCATGAGAACTGGCAACAAATGTGGCATGAATTAGATCAGCAAATGATTGAGGACAACACAAGAGTTAATTAAGGACAATGGGACTGGGACAGCATATACCGCGCATAGTCCTCCGGATCGCTGCCCTCGGCTTCGAGGTATTGAAATAAACGCTCCGAGCCGCGTTTCTGTGTCGCCGCATTTGGTAGGCTGCCGGTGAGCAGATCATGCGGTGGTATCAAAGAGCCATTGGCACTGAGACGCCAGCCCACCATCGAGGTGGGATTCACGATGATCTCCTGCAAGGGGCCGCCAGTGATGTTGCCTCCGCTGCCGCTGCCGCCGCCGCCACCGCCTCCAGTCACGCCCTCATTGGTAGTGGTGGTGTAGATGGTAACGGCACCGCTGCCGCTCACATTGCCAACGGTTTGGCCACCGCCGCTTGACGTGCTGCAGTGCATTAAATGAACGTTTGTTCGGGTAGAAGGTGTAGGTGTGAGTGTGCGTGTGTGTGTGTGTGTGTGTGGGCGAGAACGAGTGGAGAGAACAAGAACGAGGGTAGTAACTAGAGTTAGAGGAGCACTGTGCGCGCTTGGGGTAGTGGGGGTAAGAGGCGGGTCTGAGAACGTTACCCAAAAGCATTGCCGGCATTGTGAAACGTGTTCAGCTGATTGTTGGCCACCAGGGTGTTGCCAATCGTTCGCAAGACATTCAAGTTTTGGCTATGCATTGCATTGTTGCTGCCACTGTTGTTGCCAGCGTTGTTATTGTTGCTGCCACTGTTGTTGCTGCTGCTGCTACGCGCTGGACGATTATCGTGCGGACTGCATTTGATTTAAAGAGAAACAAGTTTTCATATTCAGCAAGTGGATAATGATGATGTTATATCATGCTAGCGATCAGCTGCACTCAGACTAGTTCATAATCTCAGTGTTAAAGACCAAAGTAAGACTCCAACAACCGTCGATCATCAGCTAATTAGCGTTCCTCACATAGGTTTCTTTAAAGCCTCTCACACATTTCTATCTAAAACTCAAGAAGCATTGATTTTCGTTACTTACTGCACATCACTCATGTGAATTTGGTATTCCTCCTGCGTGTCGGCCAGATAGGAGCACTTGCCGCAGGCCCGCTTATTGTGCACCTTGAGCACATGGGTGGCAAGGCGCTCGGAGCGCGCCGCCTTGTAATCGCAGAGCAGGCAAACGAATGGCTTTGTGTGGGTGTTGAGGTGACGTTTGAGGCCCCACTTGTCGGCGCCCGACCAGGGGCAATAGCAGCAGGTGAAGCGCTTCTCACGCTTCGGCTTCAGCAGGCCAGAGCCGGCAGCGCTGCTGCTGCCCGACCCCGAACTTGAGCTGGCCACCGGCTGCTGGGCGCTGTTCATCACAGCGGCCACATGCAGCGGCAGCACGGAGCCATCGTCCAGTTTCTCCTGCTTGAGCTGAGCGAGTGGCATGTCCGCAGCAGAGGCCACCGCTTCGATGGTCTCCGCAATGCTCATGCTGGTCGAGGTGGGATGTCGCTGTGCCTCCAGGAAGGCGTTGTCAATGTTAACGCCCGCTGCATTGATCGTCACATTGCCGCGTCCGCCGGCATGGTGCGAACCGACGCCGGTGCCGCCGCTGGAGCCACTGCCGGCGGGCACATGCCGGCGTGTCTTGTTGATGTCGTACTGCAGTTCGCGATGCATGCGGAGAAAATGTTTCTTGACGTGATCGGCGCGATTGAACTGCTTAAGGCAGGCATAGCACTGAAAGGGCTTCTCGTCCTTGTGAATGTTCTCGTGGCGTGTGTACAGATCCCGACGATCCGTCGAATAGGGACAATGGGTGCAGGCATAACGCTTAACTATGTGCACACCATTGGCAGCTGCCGCCGCAGCGGCTGCCTGTGCTTGGGAGGATTTCTTGCGGCTGCCGCCAGAGGAGCTGCTGCCGCCGCCGCTGCTGCTGCTCGAATTGGTGGGCGCTGAGGTGGGCGTGGATTGGGCCAAGTTCTGTGCCGCATTGGCCGATGTGGAGGGGCTGGCATAGATCAGCTCTGCCGCATGCTCCTGACGATGTTTCCTATGGGGCAAGCAAAATTTTATTTTATTAAAATCTTTTTGATTTTTTATATGCTCCGTTAGCTACTCACTTGGACTTGGGCGTGGTCTGGTGTTGTTGCTGCTGTTGTTGCTGTTGCTGCTGCTGTTGCTGCTGTTGTTGCTGCTGCTGCTGTTGTTGCTGACTGACCTGCGCATAGCTCTGCAGCTTGCCGCCCGTTGTCCACTGCACCAGCTGCGGCTGTTGCTGCTCAGCTGCTCCGGTCTCTTGCGCCCAACGCTGTTGCTGCTCGCCGGCCTTCAGCAAGCCCGCCTGTCCTGCGGCAAACCCGTTCTGCATTAGAGCAGCCAGGCCGAATGCTGTGCTCAAGTGATCCTCTGACTTGAAGCTGCCTACGGCTGCGACGCTGGGCGCCGGCACCACAGAGGCGCCGCTGCCGCTGGCGCTGACCACCACAGAGTTACCCGACTCTGATTGCTGCTGCTGTTGTTGTTGTTGCTGGATTACATTGGCCTGGGTAGTGGCCACGTTGTTGCCGCTGCCGCCGACCGCAGCACCAGTTGCTTCGTATTCAATGCTGGGCGCAGCGGTGCGATCAATTTGTTGCTATTAAGAGAAGGGTGAAATGGGCAATTATTGAAGATTCTATTCAAGACTAATTTGTATTTTGATTCAGTAAGCCATTAATGGGTTAATGGGTTAATTAAACTAATTAATTAGCCAAACACAATATTGAGTGCCCTTTCATTTACTTACCAAATTCGTAAACGAGCGCTGCTCGCCCTCGGGCACCGCTGTGGGTCCACTGGTGGCCACCTGAGCCACCGGCGTGCCGAGCGTATGCAAACCGTTGCCGGTCTCCTCGCCGTATAGTTTACGTGTGATCTCTTTGAACATATCTTCATATGTGGCCTCTACATTTGAGGACTGTGCGCTCGCTGTGTTGCATCCTGTCGCTGGGATTAGTGTTGCCATTGTTGCGACTGTTTGGCCTTGGCTTGCGGGCGCGTTGCACGAAAATTGCAGCGACTACTTCTCTCGCTGTTGCCTCCACGTATGTGCTTCGAAAACTGCAAAGAGAGGGAGAGAGAGCGAGTGAGATTGTGTGCAAGAGAAAGAGGGAGAGGGAGAGAGAGAGAGACGGTCCACGTTTAGTTAGTCAGTGTGCCTAAGCTTAACGCACATTCACATCCGGCACACAAAATACCCAATACCCACACAAAGCCCCCTTCAATCGACGTCAGTTCGAAGAATTGTCTGTTGACACACCAACAGTTGACGCCGACGGCCTGGAACCTGCCTGCCTTGGGCCCTAGCCATGCGGGTGGACCCAAGGGGGGCCTTTCGATTGATGCTGACGTCGTTCCAAGCAGCATCAGCTGAGTCAGCGCAAGCGCAAGCAGCGATTTGAGCACACTTTTTGTTAACGACATTTTTATTCACCACTTGTTGGACAGGCGACAAAAGTGGTGTGAAGGTTGGGCGAATTCAAGCAATTTAAAATATTTATATAAACTCTCATTTTGTATGTATTAAATCAAGGAGCTATAACTTAACTTTTTGTTTTTACTCAATAACCTCGAAGACTCAAAACGCTTTCGACACTTTTGTGACCTGGTCGCAGCGTCTGCTTTACTGCATCCATTAATAAATGTAATAGCTCCACGCTTGGGCTTGGTGTAAGCCAAGGAAAACCCATTGCGCAGCTAACGCGCCCAAAAACTTGCACCTTCGGAGGATATCTAAGCGCATCTCACTCTAAATACAGCACAAATTGCGCAGCAACAACAAAACTGTTTGTTGCGTTGTTATTTTGGCGGCACGTTTGTTGTTATTGGTGGGTGGCTCTGTGCTGTTGTTGTTGCTGCTGCTGCTGGCCCACATGTTGCTGATGGCTGCGCCTCATTTTTCAAGTGAGATGCTGGCACACAACAAAAAAAATAACAAATAATTTTTGTATGGCGACAAAATTTTTTTGATGTTGGTTTTTTTATGGGCATGAAGCATGGGGCATGGGCACGTTTCTTTCGATGGCCCAGAGCCAACACAGTGGGAGCCACCCACACGCGCCTAGGCCCAGGCCCATGCTGCATATGGGCGAGGGGCTGGCCTGCTGAGAAGTGCTGCCTGTCTGCATGTGTGTGTGTGAGTGTGTAAGGAATGAGAGAATTGTTTTCGTTTATATGTGTGTGTGTGTGTGTGTGTGACCGTGCCGAAGCGTGTTTTCTTTCGTTGCTTTTCGAGTCATATTTCGTATGGTTATTTGTTGTTGTTGGAGTTTTTTGCATATTTGATTTTATGCTTTGTGTGCTTTTTACAGTTGTTGCCCACACTTTACGCCACTGGGGGCGTTTGAGTCTTCTTCTTTTGCTATGCTTTATTTCGTTTCATTCGTTTGCTTCGGCTCTACTTTTGCTGTTGCGGCTGCGGCTTCGGCTTGGGCTTTGGTTTGTTTGGTTTGTTGGGTAGGTCTACAATGCCTGCAGATCTCAACCCAACCCCCCTACCCCCGCTTGCCTTGCCACCCACACCCTTTGATTGAGTCGCTGCGTGTGGCTTTTTAAGCCAAGGGCATTATTATTGATGTTGATTTTACTGCTGCTGTTGTTGTTGTTGGGTGGGTGACTTGACTTTTGTCTCAGCTCAAGATCAAAGTATCCAAAATGATGAATGCATATATATACATATACATATATATCATACCGATATATGCAAGTGCTTGCATATTTAGAATGAAATCTTTAACCACACTCAGGAGACCCACATAAATTCATACGAAATGCTATCAAACTTTGCAATATCTTCCTTCATTACTCTTTAGCTTGCAAATTTTCAAAATGTTTGCAAATATATAAACATATTAAAAAGTCCCCGACATTTGAGTACGATAAGAAAGGGCCAAGTGATGGGGTCAACATTTGTGGGCGAGCGATAGACACATGAACACAAATATATACACTCACACACACACAACACAAAAGTGTCATGCGTTGCCAACAACAGCAGCAGCGTCAGCGTGTGTGGGTGCTCGGTTGGGGCCAGGCACAGAAATAACAACAACAACATCCGCTTTGCTAATAGCAGGCAGCTAAAAAAAATAACTGAAAAAAACCCAGAGACAGCAAACGGCGGCGTCAAATGGGCGCGTCAGCGAGTGGGCTGAAAATGGGCGCAACAGTCGTCGCCGCTAGCGGCAGCAGCGGCGGCCTCAACAACAAAATCAATTTACAACAACTCTAACACGCGCACCATCAAGAACAAACACAACGATCAGTCGCCGTCAGCGACGACGACGACGCCGCCACCGCCGCCTTTGGTGGGTGTGCAAAAAACCGACATCAGCACTGGCATCCGCAGCAGCTGCGACGCCGCTGTCCGCAATGACAACGCAATTTGGGGGAGTCAGCGAGAGTGAAAGAGCGCGAGAGCCAGAGAGAGCGCAAAAACCGGTTGGCAGATGAACATAAAAATGCCGGTTGCGGAGCTTTTGCTGTAGTAATAATTGAAGTGAGAGCACAAAGCAAGCAAAGAGAGGAGAGCAAAGCCATGGCAGGGCGCACGTCTGCCGATCGTCGCTCTTTTTTTGTCCAGCTGTCGACTGTTGTCTTTCGTGGTGCAGATGCCGGACGATTGACTGTTAACGGTAAACGCATTATTGGGTGGCTTCTCTTCAAATATGGCAGCAGAGTCAATTGCTGTTGTTTGTTTGTTTTTTTTTTGTTTTGCTGATAATATTTTTCAGAATTGCGTTGCGTGTGCTACATATGTATGTATGGGCATGTACGTACGTACGTATTTATGTATGTATGTGTGTGTATTTGTTAGGGGGCGGGCGTCAAACCGCTAAATTGCCAAGCAAAGCCTTACTTTTGACTGAGCGTATGTGTGTACGTGCAGTAAAATGTATATTCGTATTTGTGCACATACATACATATAATTTTAACACCCGTGGGCCGACCCGACCCGATGGCAGCTCAGGGTGAGCCACAACATTACTGAAAGCTGTTGTTGTTGTTGCGGTGAACGGTGAAAGGCCAAGAGACGAGGAAGAGGCGAAGAGCGGAGAATCGATGGGGAGGAGGGCGACAGCAGAGAACAAGCAATGGACAGCGGCAGCAGCAGCAGCAGCTAATGACATGTTAACGCCAAGCAGCAGCCGTCTGTCGGTCCCAAAGCCACACGCAGTTATTAAAAAGTGCTTTTGTGCGATGGCCTGCACAGTGGGGCAAGCTAATTGGAAGGGCGGCCCCAAGCAAAATATTCGTTAAGTGAGCAGTATTGAGTGGCACATGCAATATAAACAACTTTTTAATCTTTAAACATTTGTGTCAACACATGTGTTGTTAAGACGGGTCTTAAAACAAGTCGAAAGTCTTTAGAAAAACTCTATTCTATATTAAACTACAGTTCAGTATAGACAAATTATTTCTTCTTATCAATTAGAAATGAATAAGCAAAAATCAATTTAATAATCATAACAGCTTGAGCCACTGTCGCGCGACTCTGGCTTTAGCAGCACGACCGATACGTCGATACACACTAACATCAGAGACAGCAGCAACAACAAGTTGTTAAAGTGGGTGGTTGTCTAACAGCTGTTGTGTCCAGCAAAATTCAACGATCGCTCGAACGACAGCAATATAAAATCTTCAATTTTATATGCGCACAAGCAGCAACAGCAACAGCAACAGGGGTCGCAACGTAAATGATTTTCTTGACTGCTTCACACGCCCACGCAGCAGCAGCAGCAGCAGCCGCAGCGCATGCGTGTGGGCTGTCGCTTGCATTGGTGTTGTTGCGTGGGTCCACTTCAGCGAGGGAGTGGGGTGGCCACAACAAATTTGACAAAATATAAAAGAAACTAAGCAAAATAGCTAAACATATATAACACTCTGTGTGTATGTGTGTGTAGCTAATATGTAAGCGCTGCGTTTACGATCCTCTTCTTTTTATTTTGCACTTTGGCAGCTGCGCAGCAGACATCCGCCAGCGTCGCTGCGGGCACTGCCTATGTGTGCGTGCAAAGGCGCAGAGGGCAGCTTTATATGGGCGGCAGGTGGTAATTTTTGTGGCCAGTCGAAGACAACAGCAAAACGATGCGACGGCAGCTGCTGCTGCTGCTATTTTTTTCTCTCCTCTCTTTTTTTTTGGCGTCTTCTTTTTGAGCTGAGCTTTGGCCAAGACGAACGACAGACAACAAAGCAATAAGCGCAGCGCTTTAAAGCTGGTTTCTTTAAGTGTATATACATATGTGTGTGTGTGTGTATGTGTGTCTGTCTGTTTGTTGGTTTTTGGGTGGTGCTGGTAGCATTGCCTTGTGGGCGTTTGCTGCAGCACCAATAACAACAGCAACACCATTCACCGCAGCAGCAGCAACAACATTCACAGCAGCAACATCTTCAAGGGCAGCCATTAGTTCAGTTCAGTTCAGTTCGTTTCATTTCGCGTCGATTCGGACCAAGTCATATATAGCATTTTAGTTGTCTCTGTGACTTCAGCTTTTGGCTATGCTTATTATTATTGCTGCTGCTGCTGCTGATGTTGCTGTTGCTGTTATTTTTGCTGGCAGCTGTTGGCAGGTGCGCGCCCTCATAAAACGTTGTCGAACGACCCAAAATGCAGGCGCAGGCAACAGCAAAAAGAAAATGGCGACCTCTGCGTCTGCGTCCCTCGTTCAAGTGCCAGTTGCACCCTCCTACTTCTCCTCCGCCTCCTGCTTGTCGCTTTTCTTATGAAATCTTTACTTAAAATGCTGCCCAAGCAACATGTGCATCGATCCTCAGCACTGACTGTCTGTCTTACGATCCCTGCCCCTCCTGGGGTAGCAATTTATGCAGTTGTTGTTTCACTTTTAGGGGTGGTTTTTTCATGATCAATGTTAGTTGTCGGCGCAGGGTTGCCGAGCAGGTTGCAGCTGCCGCCAGAGGGAGAGAGACTCCTTTGCCAGCCTGTTGCTCGACTATTGTCCTGTACCATCGGCCTGCATGCATCGGCACTTGCGTTTAGGGGTTGAGCCTTACCAGCTGACAAGTGGATAAGCCAGGTTAGAAGGGATGACCAATTATGCGTT